TACCAATCATGTGGTATCATAACATTTAAGCCTTTTGACTCAATGTGAGGAAGAATTGTACAGCAATTGAAACAGTTCAAAAGGAGAAAATGCACATAGATCCATGCCATATCTTCAAGTCTCATAATCATTTTTGGCATTATTTTAGGGGGACTCTGTTAGATGCCAGTTTGAATCTGTATTTAAACTAGACCCTACCTTTTCACCTAACCATCCATCTTAAACATACGTATTTTATAAATGTGTTATCTGTATTTACGTATAAGTCATTAGCAGAATATTGTATTTGGAAGAACCAAGGATAGAATCATTTCTATATCATTATGACCTTCTCCTCAGTTAACATTTCTTGTATAGTTACTTAATCAGCTGTGGAACTTCTAGTTATATAATTACTTACCATTTTCTGTTAACAGGGACATCATAAGATGCTTTATTAAGTGCTTCACTGAAGTCAAGATTCATTAAGTTTATCCTATTCTCCCTAGCCATCATCTAATTAGCTCTTTTAAAAATGAAATTAGGTTAATTTAATATGGCATGTTAAGGATCCCATGTCAGCTTCTCATGATCACCAATTCATTCTCCAAGTGTTCAAAAGCCATCTAATAATTTTGCTTTAAATTTTTTGAGGTTTAGTTTTATTTAACAAATATATTACTTTGTAAATTTCCAACTGATTTAATACCATAAGTGTCTCCATTTTACAGATGAAAAACTGAGGCACAGAGAGAGGTTAAGTAAGTTGCCCAAGACCATAGATTTAATAAAAGGTAGAGTTTGTCCAAACCAGCAGTTTGGTTATACAAAATGTGCCAATGTGTAGTAAGTTATGTTCCTTTACTGCTTTATGAATTTGGAAATCCCCTATGTCTCCTTGTTTTCTGTTTTTCTGCTTTTGCGATACTGAATGAAAACTCTCTAACTCCTACCATCACTTCTCTCCACCAGCAAGCAAGCAGTTCCATAGCAGAAACCAGTTAGGCAATCATCCTCTAGTTCAACTCAATTCTGACACTATCAACCTGTAAATAGAAATAATCATTACTTTGAGGTAAGATGAAACATAAGCCTATTTTGCTTCATGTTCAGTATCCCCCCTAATGAGGATCTGTCATTGTTGCATCTGGACAAACCCATTGAACTAGCTCAGCGTGGGTAACTCTCTTCCATATTTTGAACTTTTCTCATATAATTTATGTATTTCATCTTGCTTATAAGTACTGTATATATACTTTTGAAGCTAAACAATTATTTCATAACTTTTTAAAATTTAAGCTACTTTCTCTGAAAGCTGAAATAACTTTCCAGAAACACTTTTATGTGTTTTTAATTAATGGAGGGCTATACAAGATTTCAGAGAAATTCATTTTTAACTGTATCCTGTTTATTCTTGAAATTCTTTGTCATTATAAGGTTACTCCAAATACTTGGTACAGGAGTTTTTACATCAAATGTTCAATTTTCTCTACCTTCATAATTTAGCAAAATCTTACTTTTGTTTACTGATAAATTAACCCAAATGTGAAATTTTTGTGAGGGATTAAAAATCCTGCCTCTGTTGCATAAAATAGTCATGCAATATTGGGCAGGTTATTTAACTTCTCTCTGCCACAGCTCTATCATTTGTAGAAAGGGAATAATAGTACCTTGTTTATATACTTAGCACAGGGGAGCCTTTAGTGAGAAAGTGTATTTGGGGAAATGTAACAAAGCCTCCCCACTCTCCTAGTCATACTTTTCCACTGAATCACAAGGCTCTGGAACAGGCTTCTGCTGCCTTCTGCCAATAGCTTTGCCTCTTTATTTGTGTCTTAATACTTTCATCCTATTAACCCCAGTCATGGTTTAGCCCATCATTTTCTTTCTGTGCTTTTTAATCAAATGAGTGAGAGCATCAAGAAAAATGCTTACTCATGGCTACATATTATAATCCCAAATTGCTTAATATCTCTCTCTCTCTCTCTCTCTCTCTCTCTCTCACACACACACACACACACACACACACACCCTGCATTTTGGACCAATTAAATATGAATCTCAGGACTGGAAATCTGGCATTAACATTTCCCCACTTCTTAACTTATTCATGTATTTTAAACTTTTATGTTAATTATAAATTCAAACATGGTTTAAGAAATACTAAGAAACACCCAATGTACCCTTGCCCACTTTCCCCCATTGATAACATCTTGAAGGCTATTGACATTGATGCAATGAGGACACAGAATGCTTATATTATCACAAGCATCCCTAGTGTTGCCTGTACCCACTTCCCCAGCACCTCCTTACCCCACCCTCCCTCCAAGACCTCTGGCAATCACTAGTTTCTTCTCTATTCCTATGTCTGGTCATTGCAAGTGTTATGTAAATGGTATCATATAGTATACAACCTTTTGGGATTGACTTTTTCCACTTGGCATAATTTCCTGGAGATACCACAGTTTAACTATTCAACTGTTAAAGAATATCCATTGAATAATCATTCAAGTATTAAAGAATGGACAACCTTTTGTCCATTATAAATAAACCTTCTGTGTACATTTATGTATAAGTTTCTGGGTAAATGTGAATTTACCTTTCTGGGTAATAAATTCCCAAAAGTACAATTGCTATGTTATATGGTGGTTTCATATTTAGTTTTATAAAAACAACTGTCAGAGTGTTTTCCCAGACTTGTACTATTTTACATTCTCACCAGCAATGAATGAATGATTCAGTTTTTCTGCATGCACATTAGTATTTGCTACTATCACTATTTTTTTTTTATTTCAGCCATCCTAAAAAAATATATAGTGATACTGTATTTCCCTGTTGGCTGCTGATATTGAATTTTTTCACATGCTTATTTGCCACTTTTAGAACCTCTTCTGAAATGACTCTTCATGTCTTAATCTCTTTTCTAATGGAATTGTTTACTTATTATAGTTTCCTTAGCAAGAAGAGTGAAGCTGGTGGCATTACTATACCAGACTTTATACTGTAGAGCAATAGTAATAAAAACAGCATGGTATTGGCACCAAAATAGACTGGTAGACCAATGGTACAGAATAGAGGACACAGAGTCTAACCCACACAACTACAGTTATCTTATATTAGACAAAGGTGCCAAAAACGTACATGGGAGAAGACAGTCTGTTCAACAAATGGTGCTGGTAAAACTGGAAATTCACTTGTGACAAAATGTAATTAAACCTGTATCTCTCACCATGCACAAAACTCAACTCAAAGTGGATCAAGGACCTAGGAATTAAACCAGAGACCTTGCACCTAATGGAAGAAAAAGTGGTTTGAGATATTTTAGATACTAGTCTTTGTCAAATGTATGGACTGCAAAATTTTTTTCCTAGTCTAAATCTTGTCTTTTTTATCCTCTTAATGGAATCTTTCCCAGACAAAAATTTTAATTTTGATGAAGTCCAGTTTCTCCCTTTTCCTCTTATGGAAATGTTTTGGTGTCAAGTCTGAGAATTCTTTGTACTTCAGATCCTTGTTATGTTATGGTCTTGATCTTAAATGTCCCTCAAAGGCCCATATGCTAAAGACTTGGTCATCATTCTGTGTCACTGCTGAGAGGCAGTGTAACTTTTAGGAGGTAGAACCCAGTGGAAGGAAGTTAGGTCATTGGGGTATGCCTTTAAAGGGGATATTGAGACCCCAGAACCTTTTCTTTTGCTTCCTGGCCACCATGAGGTGAAGAGTCTTCCTCTGCTCCATGCCCTCACTGTCATGATACACTGAGTAACCACAGACCCAAAGGAACATAGACAAGCAACCATGAACTGAAATTTCTGAAACCGGGAGGCACAATAAACTTTTCCACCATATAAGCTTTTTATCTCATGTATTTATCACAGTGACCAAAAGGTGACTAACATAGTCCTGAAGATTGTTTTCCTTTGATTTTTCTGAAAGTTTATAGTTTTAGGTTGAAACATGATTTTTCCCCCACTGGCATTAGGCTATCCAAATGCTCCAGTACCGCATGCTGAAAAGCTGTCTTTTCTCCATCAAATTGCTTTTATGCCTCTGCCATAAGTCAGTGGAGTCTATTCCTGGATCTCTGTTCTTTTGATCAATAGCACACTGTCTTAATTACTGCAGCTATGTAGTAGTTTTTGTATCAAGAAGTGATTCCTCCCAACTTATTTTTTGTGAAGACTGTTTTAGCTATCCTTAGGTTTGTGCCTTTTCTTATGAATTTTAAAATATGCTTGTTTATATCTACGCAAAGCTTGTTGTGATTTTCACAGGAACTGTATTAAACCTGTAGCTACATTTAGGAAAAGTTTATGTCTTTATGATGAGTCTTCCAATCCATGAATATTATGATTTTCCCCTTAGATTTTTTATTTTGTTTCATTCTATATGCAATTCCTAGTATAGAAGTCCTATGTGTATGTATATTTCAGTATTGCATTTCTAATTTTGCATTCTATGTGAAATGTAATTGGCTTCTGTATTGACCTTGTATCTTATTTCCCTCCCTCCCTTTCCCTTTTCTTTTGGAGTAGGGACTGAACCCCAGGGGCACTTTACCACTAAGCTATATCCCCAAGTCTTTTTTATTTTTTATAGCAAAACAGGGTCTCGCTGAGGTTGGCCTCAAACTTGCAATTCTCCAGCCTCAGCCTCCTGTGTCCCTGGGATTACAGGAATATGCCAACATGCTGGCTATTGCAGTCCTTCCTGAACCTGACATTGGCATTTTATAAACTCCTGGAAATTAAAACATGCAAACACAGTTGAGATCCAGTGGCTCTTGAGAAATAACAATGATGAAGTTTAGTGTCCTTAAAATTTCATGATTTGTATCTAGAATGTCTCCACAAAAGCTCATTTGTTGAAATCAAGATTCCCAAAGTGGCAAGGTTCAGAAGTGGGACTTTTAGGTAATGATTAAGGCTTTGACCTCATAGCTGAAATGACTACTGGGAGGTGGGACCTAGTTGGAGAAAGTTGGTCACTGAGGACATGCTCTTGAAGGGTTTATCATTTACCTGGTCATCTTGTTTCACAGCTGCCATGAGCTGAGCAGCTTTCTTCTTCCACATCCTTCTGCCATGATGTTCTGCCTCACCTCAGGCACAGAGCAATGGAATCAGCTGACTTCGGATAGAGACCTCTGAAACTGTGAGTCAAAATTAAACTTTTGTTCTCTAAGTTGTTGTTCTCAGGTATTTTGGTCAGTGACAAACAGCTGACTTACACAAGCATGCAACAATCCTTGTGTGCCTGCATTATTATTTCTTCTAAAATCTGTAAATTATAAATGACTCTTTTTCTCTAGCCTGTCTGCCTTAGCCTCCATCTTAATCCCTTTTTTCCTATTCTCCAAGGACCTTGCTTACTACCACTTAATGTCAAGAACACCACAAACTTTCTATTCCCTTTTCCCTACGAATATTCAGTATCTTTATATCTGTACCCATACATTTCAAAGTTAAGAGTGAAAAATATCCTTCTTCCCATTATAGACAATTTCCCATTACAGATCTATAATTTCCATGCCTGTACCTACGATCTAGCCATGTTTCATATGAACATTTGAGTAGATTATCTTCATGTATTTTCTATACTATTCTGTATATTTGTATTGAAATTTTTGCAATAATATTGTATATTTTCCTACTCTGGATTATTTGCATTGCTTTATATTATTAAAGGCTGCTTTAAAATACTATTTATTTTTCTGATAGTACTGGGAATCAAACCAGAGCCTCACGCAAGTGTTCTGCCACTGAGCCATACTCCTAATATATAATTTTAATGACCATATGGTAGACTTTCCATAATTCTCATAAAAATACCGTTTCCTTTTCTAAACTTAGTGTTGGATTCACTACCCTTATATATAAATATTTCCAGATTTTGGATTGCCTTCAGATAAATTTCCCAGGAGTAGAATCACTGGATTTAAGGCATGAATATTTTTAATATTCTTGACATATTTCTAAATCAAGCACAGTAGGGTACAATGCAAGTTGTTGCAACCTTTTTTTCCAAAAATGAGGCAATTTAGCAATATTATTCAATTAAATCATGCCTCATAGTCCAGCAATCATATATATATATATATATATATATATATATATATATATATATATATATATAAAAAACTGGGGATTTAACCCAGGGGCACTTTACCACTGAGCTATAATGTCTGCTCTTTATATTTTTAATTTTAAGATAGAGTCTCACAAAAGTTACATAGGCCTTTTCTAGACTGCTGAGGCTGGCCTCCATCTGGCATTCCTCCTGCCTCAACTTTTCAAATTGCTGGGGTTACACACATGTGCCACTGCATACAGCAGGACTTAAAATTTAAAAATAAAATGTACTGGTTGTTTCATTTGTTTGTATCTGATTTGGGTATAAACTTGGTCTTTTCCTTCTATAAAATAGTGTTATTTTTCTATTTTAGGACTGTTGTAAAGATAAGAAATAACCCACATAAAATATTTTTTGGTTTTTGTGGTATAAGCCAAAGTGGAATAAAATTAGTTCTTTACAAATAGCCTAATATCAGAGAACTGCTCAGAGATGGATGGGTGGGATTTATCTCTTCAACAGGGCATTTTTTTTTTAATTTATTCTTTAATAGCATTTTTGTAAACTGGTATATAAAATGGCTGAATAGAGGTGCCTGGCAATCACCTGATCTTCCACAAAGAATCACCAGAGCAACAGATATACAGCTGCGTTTTGAAGTAGGTGATTGTGGGAAAACACTAGAAATTAACAGAAAAATGGATCCTCCTAAGATTCAGAATCCTGAGATAATAACATGGTAAAAGAAACAAAATATCCTGATATCTGCTGGCCCAATTTCTTTGCTAGAAGAAGGAAGGTCTCCCCTCTGCAGGGTAAGGGTGAAAGCAAATCCCAGCAAATGCTATTAGCACCAATGCTGGCAATCCTAGCTCTTGGAGTGTTTCAAGACCTTCACAGACTTGCAGCCTAATGAGATAACTAATCTGAAATCTGCACAGTAACCTTGCTTTGGAAATGACTTCACATTATCTCCTAGTGAATCTCCAGGGTGCTATAGCTAGAAGTAATCTTAAGAAAGGACCTACTGTCTGAATTTGAATTACTTTATGGGTCAGAAACCCCTGCATATTCCCATCTCTGTGAATATTCCCCAGAACATTTCATTGAAGTGGCTCAGCAAACCAAACCTGGCCCAGTTGAGTGACTCAAATCTGCTGACTGCCCTGAACTTTAGACAATGGCTGTTATGACACAGAGGGCACCACCCTCTGAGAGTTGCATGTGGATTCACACCAGTGCTAGGACTTAAGGCAGTCATCCAGGAGGTTCCCATCACCCAGCCCTGCATACTAACCGGGTAGGGAAAGAACCCCAGGGGTTTCTACTATTGCTCCACCCATAGGGGCTTGTTGCAGGCCACTAGGGAGACTTGAGCCACCAGGTTCTCTGGCTGTCATCCTGTCCCTAGAACACATGGGCTGAGAGGGTTTACAGAGAACTTTTGCCCAGCACTAGCTCCCTTCCCTTCTCAATGATTCCTTAATCACTTCACTTGAAGGAGCTGGGGGAAGAAAACCCCTGACTGTCAGTTACCCTGACAGTCAGTTACCCTGACCCGGTGTCTACAGAGCCAGTGGAGGCCTACAGGAATTTTGTCTGGCTCCAGCCATGACCTATTACTGCTTGTTCTCTACTGGGTACTACAGATGAAAGATCTGGGGAGAAAAGTCCTGGCTTTTGTGCTGTCCCCAGGCATGCCAAGACTTGGAGGATGAAATCCTGTTCCTGGGCAGGCACACCCAGAAAAGCAGCAAAGGAACACCGCTATTCCTGCTGTCACCACGCCTACACAGTTCCCACCACAGGAGACTCTGCATATTACCTGATCAAGCAGTGCTGCCAGGATTTGGTTTGTCAGAGAGCGGGTGCTGTGATTCCTGCCACCAACTCTCCCAGGAAAACACATACTGGAGGCATCAAAATGGCTCATTCAAGACATACTACAGAGCCATCACCAAAACAGCAATTATATGGGCATAAAAGCAGTATAGAGAGCCAACCCAAGAACAAATCCAAGTGTCTATAGCCAACTGATTCTCAACAAAGAATGCCAAAAATATACATTCAAGAAAAAACGTCTTTAACAAAGGGTGTTAGGAAACACAGATATCTGCAAGTATAAGATTGAAACTTAACCCTTATCTCTCATCCTGTACAAAAATCAACTTACAATGGACAAAGACCTTAATGTAACACCTGAAACTATGAAACTACTAGAGGAAATTATAGAGGAAGCACTTCAAGATACTGGTACAGGCAATGGTTTTCTGTATAGTAGCTCGAAAGCACAGGAAACAAAATCAAAAGTTGACAAGTGGGATCAAAAAAGCTGCTGTACTGCAAAAGGAACAATTAACAAAAAATACCTACCTGCCAGCTGCTGTTCATCTAACAGAGGGTTCATATCTAGAATTAAATTTTTAAAATTTACCTAAAAAACCAAGTGATTTAATTAAAATATGGGCAAATGATCTAAGTTAGTCACTTCTCAAAAGAAGAAATACAAATAGCCAACAAATTTATGAGAAGATGCTCAGCATCATTAACTGTCAGGGAAACACAAGTCAAAACTACAATAAGATACCATTTCAACCTGGTTAGAATAATTATTACAAAAACTGAAAATAACAAATGTAGAGAAAAAAGAACTCTTATACATGGTTGATGGGAATGTAAGTTAGAAAATCCAATATGAAAAATGGTATGGAATTTCTTTAAACAAAAATCCAGCTATCCCACCTCTGAGTATATAGCTAAAGGAAATGCAGTCACCATAAAACAAAACACACATGGCTGTATACCCATGTTCACTGCAGCACTATTCACAAAAGCTAAGACAATGAATCACCCTAGTTGCTCATCAACAGGAGAATGGAGAAAGAAATGTGCTGTAAATACACAATGCAGTTATTATCTGGTGAAAAAAGAATAAAAGAATATTCTGCTACTTGGAACAAAACAGATGAAAATAAGAGGACATTGGGTGAAATAAACCTGACACAGGAAGACAAGTATCTCATGTTCTCTCATGTATGGAAACCAAAGAAAAAGTTAACCTCAAAGTAGAATAGTGATTACTGGAGTCTGGGAAAGATGTGGAGGAGTGGGACTTGGATGTGATCAATACACACTGTATGCAAATAACACACTGAATCACATCAATATGTACAATTGATTTGTATTAATAAAGCATTTGCCTAGATCATGTCTTTTACTCTCTTTCTACTGGAAGATGAATTGTCTAAAATTGTACACAAGCTAAGGTATTGCTGACAGTACATTTTGTCAAAACTACCAGGGACTATATTTTAAAAACATCAATATATGTGGAGAAGCTGCAGAATCATCCTTATGCATCGCAGTTCAAGGACTGCAATGATGAATCCAGGAGTTTTCTTCTCAGCGTATCTCATGAATGGGTGTTTGCTGAACATAATGAGGTATAAATGCATGGTAGTTTTTAAATGAAACAAGAAAAGAATGATTTTAACTATGTGAAATTATTGATAATCACTGTTTTTGGCCCGAAATGATTTTTAATGACTAAAGTTCATAGTTGAATTAGGTACTATTTATTTTTAGTAGATGCTTGAAATTTTCTGCATAGCAGTCTCCTGTCATTATTAAATGAAGCTGTACTAAATGTATCTTTCAGCCTCTCCTTGAAAGTATTGGATTTTAATCCAATTCAACAATCCATAACATTAGTGAACTACCTGAGAGTCATCCCTCAGTATATATGGGAGACTGGTTCCAGGAACCCCCTCTCCCACTACCAAAATCTGCAGATGCAAATATCCCTTATATAAAATGGTGTGGCATCTGTTCTGTTGTACACAAAAAACATAAATCCGAGACATAGATAGTTGATGTGTGTATAGTTTGGTCACTCTACATAGTTAGGGTTAGTGTCTGCCATGAATCAGACAGCTGAGAGGCTTCTCTGCTGGTTGCAGGGAAATTCTAGAGGATCGCTGTAGTACTCGCAGGATGGGCACACCAAGTTCATGAGCATCCTGAGCTGGAGCAGCAATAACTGCCACCCCACTGCAGTCAATTTTCATGAGCATTTCTGCCTACGGGGACTGGATTACATCTGACACTGGAGAAGTGTCATCACTGAAAGAGCAGTACAATGCCCTGTGTTTAGAAACAGGAAATGTATAACAGTATACCATAAAGAAAGTCTCTTGTCATTGACAGTGAAAAAAACCAACCTTTATCATTAAGGAGGCTGTATTCAGTGTATGTATATGTTTAAAAATATTAAATTCTCTTACAGAAAGTTAAATATTGTTCATACCTCCTGGGAACTCACAATCTGAACGGTCATTCAATTTATATCTTGCATACCACATGTAAGTCATCACATTCATTTTTCTTCTTTGGCAAACACTGGAAGATAAAAAAGGCAGATTATTCAATACATAAAATTCTTAATTTACAGGGAATAGGCCCTCAGCAGTTAGACAGAAAAGATCCCTATCAGTTTCACAATTTCATTGGGCAGTGTACATTAAAAAATTATAAAGTAAATCACTTGATTTTGAGTTTTTTGATAAAATTTTACAATATTTTAATGCTTATAAGTTATTTAACCCATCTTAAACTTAGTTTGCCAACATCCTCATCTCTCCAAACTATAGCCAAAAATCAGTGAGAAAGGAATTAAGAAAGGCCCATAAGCCAAAACCAAAAGACTAGATGCCAATGTACATTGTAGAAATGTTCAGAGTAAGAGTCTGAGGCAACTCTTTTCTTATTTAATACATTTTGACCAAAATTTATCATTTGGTTTCCAAGATTACAGTATTCGAAAACCATATGTTCAGTAAGCAAATAGGTATGAGACAGCTACTCATGAGGAAGTAGGCAAAAAAATTATATATATATATATATATATATATATTAATATATATATTTATATATATATATATAAGTCATCCCTCAGTATACATGGGGGACTGGTTCCAGGAACCCCCTCTCCCACAACCAAAATCTGTAGATGCAAATGTCCCTTATACAAAATGGTGTGGCATCTGTGTATCACCTATGCATATTCTCCACTGTGCTTTCAAACACATCTAGATTATTTACACTTAATACAACATGTTATAGAAATATTTGTTATATGCTAGGGAATAATGACAAAGACTGTTCATGTTGAGTAAAGATGCACTTTTTTCCTGAATATTTTCCATCTGCAGATGTTGAATCCATGAGTCTAGAATCCATGAGTCTAGAATCCATGATATGGAAGGCCAACTATATACACAAATAATTTAAAAAATCAGGGATTCCTTATTTAACTCACAATTTTACTATAAAAGTTTGATTTAAATGATACTGAAATTTCTGTCGATTAAAAAAATCCATTTTATATGAGTCTAATAACAATTGATTGTAACATCAAAATGTTCAGTTTAGTATGTGCTCTTTATACAAAATTTTCCTCCAAAATTAATAAAATAAAAAAGCTCATATACTTAAGTCAGGCACCCTTAGTTCTCTGAAAAAATATTAAGTTCTTAAAATGTGTCTTTCCTTAATCAAATCTGAAAGTAACTGAGGCTTCAGTGAAATTAGTTGATATTTGTCTAATGACTCTTCATTTGAAAACTGGAAAGCAAGTATGAGCACAAGATATTTCTGTAATTGTATTAGAAAATAAAACTTCTTTCTTTTCTCAAACTTTCTCAGCCTCTCTCTCCTATTTTCCTTTAACCCCTTTGTCCTCTTTTCTGCCCCAACCCCCTTCTTTTCTCCCTCTTAACCTCTCAATCCTTCCTCTTTGAACCAACCTCCTTCTCTTCCCTTTCTCCAACTGTCTCAGTCCCTTATACTTTCAACCTCACTCTCCTCTCTGATCCCTCTTTCTCTGAACTCTACCTTTTTTCTTCAATATTGCCTCTCTTTTGCAAGTGCTACAAAGAGGAAATGTTTTCAGTGTCTTGGTATTTACTAAAAAATCTCTGACATGAATATTAGGCTAACAGTTCTGCCTTCATTGATCTAGGTAATACTTTTTGATATAGACTCTGAGGAAAATGAAAGATGAGATTTGCAAAAAGGATTATCTAATTCTCACATTAATATGGTTTGTGCTATTTTTACTTTGTCTCTTATCCATCCTCATCTTTTGATCAGATGACATTAAAGGGGATTAAAGTTGGGTTGTGTTAAAGTGTCAGACCTGTCTGTCTATAGTATCCGCCCCTGTTGTATGATCTTCTGGCAGTTAATTTTGGCACTAGCACAATCTACTGTGACCTCCTGTAGGACAAGAGAAGCTGCTGAATTTCCCTAAAAGTTTTAGAGAGTTATTTGGTTCTCTGTTTTTGGCTTTAGTTTGGCTGTGATTTTAGAATGCAGTGGAAGCATTCTAAAATTAGAGCCTTTATTAAATAGGGCCTACTACTTTAGAGGTGTTTAACTTAAACTTCTTCTAGCTGAAAGCCATTTTAACCAAGAAAGGACATAATGCTTTATTTCTTTCTTTGACTTTCTTTTCAAGAATCACTCTCCATCTTACATTTCAATGTGGAAAATATGTTGGTTCAATATATGTATTAGACAGCAATATATTGTGCAAAATGATCTAAGAATCATGTAGCCAAATTTAAAGAAATAATTTTCAATCGTGTTTATTTTCAAAAGCCTTCTTGAGCATGTACTGTGAATAGATAGAGGCACTTAGATAGAGGAAGTTTCTCTCATCTTTAGAATCTAATTCCACTCCAGAAGAACAATAAATAAGAATAATTACCATTCAACATGCTATGAGAGCTGGCAGCCTAGAAACAACCATCACTTGCTGCAGGGATGGGTGAAAGTTTTGCAGAAGTAATATCTGGGCTGAGCTTTAAAATTCAAATATCAGTTGATTTGGTTTTTGTGTTTTCTACACCATTTCTTATGTTAAAGAAATCTGCAGTGAGCTCTTTCCCTATCAACGATTTCATATACTCTGAATATCCTGTCATTAGGGTTACTGGAATTTTTTTGTTTATTCTTATGTCATAAATTGCCTGACTTAATTTCTCCTAGTCCTCTACTTTATCTTTTAGTTATAATTGTCAGTGATGTAGTTCTGAAATGGGCTAAGTACAATCAATTTAAAGATATCAATTCCTTAAATAACAAAATTCTTTCAGGAAAAGTTTCCAGATTTTCCACTGATTCTCACGGGATAGGATGGGCTTTTTAAGAACAAATATGAGCAGAAAAAGCCAGCTCATCTGGTCAATGCCATCATAGCTCATATTCTCCATGCAGAAGAGAAACATGCAACTCATAAAGAGGTATGTCACCCAACGAGCAACTTTTCCCATCTTCTGTCCTGTGAACTCCCCCACCACCAACTGATCAGGAAGGCACATTTTAGCTCATGGCCTCCTTGCCAGCTGACCACACAGTAAAGCTCTTTTCTTGTAAAAACCCAGTGCCTTGGTATGGGCATCTAAGAGTGTCAAGGCAGTGATCCTGGCTCAGTAACAATTTATGGCAACTCAAATGTGAATCTGAGACCTTCACCTACCTGCCCTAGGCAATGTGGTTCCTCACTGGGGTAGAGTTCTGTGTTTTGACCTTCAGTGGCCACCAGGACTGATGATCATCTGAAAGGCCCGGCCACCTGAACCTGCTCCTGCACTGTGAACACTACCAGCTCTTGGTGCTAACTTCATTTTAAATAGCAAAAACAAACTACTCCCAGAATAAGATGTGTCCTGGTGAGTAAACCTATTAAGGGCAACTGGGCCATGAATTAATTTTCTCTCTGGTTTAGAGGCATAAATTGTTCTTCTGGTTTTGACTTTTGGGAGTAAAATAATCCCTTTGGAAGTCCTGGTTTATTCTAGTCTATGGAATCCAGGCCTAAAGAAGAATAATAAGGTTTCACTTGTGGGATGTCGTTGTTCACCTGATTTGGTCTGGTTTGGAAATATACTCTGGTTTAATGTGTTTTATGTGTTCTTTTGTTTATTAGTTTATTAGTCTGTGCTTTAGGTATCTAAAATCTTGATGAAGGTGTCAGGGGAACTTAGCTATGCCATGTAATGGTCTTACAGGGAGCCCCCTTGGAAGAATATACTCCTCTCCTAGACTGGAATGAACCCTAACAGCTCATCCGGGAGGTACACATAGCAAGCCATACTTCGAGCTACCCTGCACCCCTTGGTGTTTGGGGGCTTTCTGAGACACATAAAGGGGAACATCTGGCCTATAAGTGACTCTCTGTGAGGGAATTCCCATACCCAGCACATTACTGACCCCCAACATTTCCTCACCACTGACTTGCTCCAGATACCTTGCAAAATTGATCCTTGAGATAGCATTGGGCAGAATTTAATTCAAACCCATTAAGGTAAACTGATTCAGCATTCCTAGGAATAGTTTTGGTGGGAGTTCCCACTGCTGCTTCCCTCTTTTTAATAGAGTTTCTCCTGCATTTTTAACTAATTAATCTCATGGTAATAACTTATGGCCTTTTCTTGCTAAATTTGCTTATGGTTATATATATATATCTACTTTGATGTTTTATTTGATTGACATACTTAATTAAATTTTTTCTTATAAACACTTTTAAGATAATTCTTAAAACTGTAGTTATAGATGAATATGCAAGGGCTTTTAGTTTTCTGTCCAGTTTCTTTTCTCTACCTATTTTAAATCTGTTGGTTATTCCAGGTGGCTTATTAGAAGGTTATTTCAGCCAGTTCTAATTAAATAATAAACATTTAAGAGTTAACTCGTGGACTCATGTGAGACTGAGAAAAAGAAAAACGATAATAGTTTTTTGAAACAAAAGTCACACTGACTATAGAGTCCAACACATGGCAAAACTGGTTGTAGTATGTGGTTGGTGAAATGATCCCCAGAATAAAAAGAGCCTATTAAAGACCACAATGGAATCTCTGGCCCATGTATCTTTGATTAAGAGAATGGTTCTTGACTTCCTACTGTCCTCACAAGGGTGAATCTATAAATATAGCTGTTGCATATATAGTAACACATCTCAATAGATAGAATTAAAAGTATCTAAAATTTTAAAGCTGGCAAAGTCATGAAAGATACCCTAACCCTTTGAGTTGGCCTCCCTAACCATTTTTCAGATACCTTCATTTGATTTTCTGCTAGACTAGGTTCCTTTTTATGTTCTGTCCTTCAGTTTAAGGTAACACTTATTCTGTTTTTGATTGGTCACAAAATAGTGGCCTTCCACTAGTGATTCTTATCCTACCTGAGAGACACATTCCTCCAGCCAAAACTTAGGCCTAACTATACCCTGGTTCAGCAAGGATATAGCCACAATAGAGGTTACCCCAGCCTCTCAAGATTAAAGAATGAAGAAACACAAAGGGGTACTGAAACTGGTTGAGACATGTTCATGTCTGAGCATAAAGTAATTAACAAAATTCTCAATTTGTTTTTCAGGAAAGCCTCCATACATCCCACTAATTATTCCTAGTGTTTGGAACCAGCTTTTCATAGTGGAAACGAGCAGAAAAAGCCAGCTCATCTGATCAATAACAACAAAAGCTCAAAATCCTATATGTAAAACACACACCCCCACCCACTGCAAAGAAACATGCCATCCATCTAACAAGCAATTTCTCCCATCTCTCTTCCTATAAATTCCCCTGCTACAAATTGATCAGGGAGGCAAATTTAAGCTCCTTTTAAACTTTTGGCCTTCTTGCTGGTTGAAGATGCAATAAAGCCTTTTCTTTTTGCAAAAGCCTGGGATCACAGTAGTGGTTTCTATGTATACCAGGCAGCAAGCCCTTGCTTAATGATAGTTTCAACATTTAATGTTCTTTTGTCAATTTAACATATATTCAACATCTGAAGGCTAATAAGTATATAATTCTTACTGATGATAAACAGCTTTTAACACATACCCTGATGTCTGTTTCAGCTTTATTGGCAGTACCACTTTCATTTTTCTATTTCCCGCAGGTATTTAAAGAAATATATTTTAACCAAATTATCAAATAATGACAATATAAACAACTGCTGAGCTCAAAATATGAGAGACTCTTGAAAAGGCAAAATAAAGAAAAGGAACAAGACGGCTGAATAGAGGCTCCCAGTTCTCACCTGCTTCTCCACACACACACACACAAGAACCAAAGCAACAGGCATATAGCTGCATTTTGAGGTGAGTAATCATGGGGAAACTATTGGGAATCAATGGAAGAAATGAAAACCTTATAAGATCCAGAGACCTGAGACAAAAGCATAGTTAAGAGAACCAAAATATCCTGGCACATGCTGCCCTGGCTCAAGGTGAGGCAGAACACCATGGCAGAAGAGTGTTGACAGAGGGAAGCAGCTCACATCATGATTAGAAAGCAGAGAGAGACTACACTCTCTAGATACAAAATATATACCCCAATGAACCACTTCCTCCAGCCACACCCCACCTGCCTCTAACTACCATTCAGTTAATCCCATCAGGGACTAATTCACTGATTAGGTTAAGATTCTCACAACCCAATCATTTCTCCTCTGAACTTTCTTGCATTGTTTCACACATGAGATTCTGGGGGGATACCTCACATCCAAACCATAACAATTAGTTTAAGTTGGATGTGGTTTTATAGATTTTTATTACCTTGCTCCATAACTTACATATATTTCTGTTTAGATCAGACAGTACACAAAATAAAATACTAAAACCCTTTTTAATAATGCTAGCTTCTCATAGCAGCATGTGCTCTCCTCCTATATGGGAAACTGGAAGTTCCACACACATTCAGAACATCAAACTCTTCCACTCTTTAGCCTTTCCCATTTCCTAGAATGTCCAAAGTGTCACTGTAACTCATGCTTGCTGATGTCACTTATAACATTGAGCCTATTTACCAACTGCTTAGTGGACACTGGCAGTTATACTTTCTCCCATCCATTCTCTTGAGGGGAAATGGGTTTTATAAGTCTTTGTATACCTTCCAGGAGCTAGATATTGTCATTTAGCTAAGTTAATCATTAAAGCTAATCTCATATAATATATAACTTTGGTGCATGATTAGGGATCACGAATGTTGATTCTGAATTCAGACTTCTTGGGTTCAAATCCCAGTTCCACCATTAGCGAGTGTTAATTAAGACTTTGGAAAAATTGTTTAGCCTAATTGCACTTTTATTTCCTCATCATAAAGGGCAGGTAGTAATAATAATTTTAAAATAGTCATAGTGATATTATGAAGATAAAGGAGCTCAAACCACTGAAAACACCTACTAAGTTTCTAATACATGTTAGCTAGTATCCTGTGAATTTTCTTAGAATAAAGCTTTTAAATAAGCTTCCCCCTTCTCTGGATCCTTAAAATATTTTGAACAAATGAGAATAGTTACAAAAATACTTAAAAACATGGGTGAACCTCAAAAATCTACTCAATTGAAAGAAGCCATTCATAAAAGGCTATACATGTTGATTTTTTTAATCATATAAAATGTCTAAAAAAGACAAATTTATGAAAATAGAAGACAGTACAGCACTTACCGAGGCTTCAGGTAAGAGAAGGTGAGTTTTCTCTTTCACACCATGACAACACAGAAGACTTCCATGAGGTTAAGGGTGTGAGGATTTCTCCAAGCCAGTCAGCAAACAATTTTGGAATGCACAAAGCTGCCTTAGCAAATTAGCAACACCCTGTCTCAAAATAAAAAATAATAATAAAAAGAAAGGATTAGGGATGTAGCCTAATGGTAAAAACACCCCTGGGTTCAATGCCCAATACAAAAAAAAAAAAAAAAAGCCTCCCATGAATTCTATCAAACATTTAAAAATCTAATACCAATTCTCCTTAAGGTATTATAAAAAATAGGGGAGGAAGGAATTCTTTCAAACACATCTTATGAGACCAGCATTACCCTAATACCCAAATCAGATAAGGACACACACACACACACACAAAAAAAAAAAAAAAAAAAAACTAGAGGATAACATCCTGAAGAACAGATGCAAAAATCCTCAGAAAATATCAGCCAACAGAATCCAATGCATATCATTAAGATCATTCATGGAGACTTCTGAATAAGATAACAGAATACAAGTATCCTTTGCAAGATACTTCCAGTGAAAAGTTAGGACAAGCTATATTTCAAGGAGAAAAAAGAGGAGCTCCTGAAATCAAGAAAGAGGTGATGGGAAAGCTAAAAGCACGGAGAAGCAGAACGGCAACTCAGAGGAAAGTATGAAGCAGTCTGCAACTCCAACCCTGGCTTCCCAGGGGAAGAGGAACCAATGCCCCAAGCCCAAGCCCAGGGTAAGCCTGGAGGGTGTAGGCAGCCTCAGCAATAAACAATGACTGGCATTACTAGCCTCAGGAGAAACCCATAGAGCTTGGAAGCTTTAAATCCAGTGCAGGAAGTGAGGCTGGAAACTACTCCTCCATAATAGGCTAGCTCAGGAGAAAAATCTACTGCAGTACTTGCTGTAGGTATCTGGAAGTGCTTCAACCAGAAGCCATCCTGAGAGTGGGCTTATTGTTTGGAACTTATCTATGCTGGATCAGAAAACAGAACAATCACAATTCAGTATCCTAAGGACACCGTGCCACCCTGGTAGGGTGGGAGATTGGCACAAAAGACAGTCATGAAGAGGGTGAGTGGCATACCTCCTGAACCATTTAAACAGTAAGGAGATCAGACTGCAGAGGACACTATAACCTGTGATCAGTGACTGGTTGTACTGCCCTCTATGGTGAGGAGCAAGAGTCTAGCATGTGGTTTACTGAGGAGGATGGGTCTGAGAACACTAGGACTAAGCTGGTGGATTGCTCTGTTTCCATGTTCCCATGCTTTGTTCTCTAGTGCAGTATTCAGTGAACTGTTTGCTTCCCCTACTCTCCAAAGCACTTGTGGAACTACCTCAGCCTAGTATTTGTGTATTTTCCTGGTATTTGCCATGACCAGGGACAGACCTGGGGACCTCTGAAATAAGAAGGCACATGACCAATCTACATTATACAAGGATAGTTGGCACGGGTAGCAGCTCCAGGTGTGTGTAACCATAACAAGTTGTTGGGGGGAAGCCTCTGGAGTGAATTAAGCCCTGCCCCAGAAAACATGCCATTAAACATGGCAGGGCTCAGCCCACATACAGCATGAACCTATTTGGTGGAAACATAGGGGAATCACAACAGTCCTTATCTGTGACTCATTATCCCTCACATTTGATAGATTCCAATAATCAAGGACCCAAAAAGAGTATTCTTCAATCCAAGAACCTTGGATAGAAGGAATTTTTGGACTCAAAAAGATTAACACCAATCATCCACCCACCCACCCAATCAATAAATTGGCAAAGGAACTAAATAGACACTTCTCAAAAGAAAAAAATATGAACGGTTAACATGAAAAAGTGCTCACCATCTATAGCATTTAGAGACACAAATTAAAACTACACTGAGATTTCACCTCACTCCAGTCAGAATGACAACTATCAAGAATACAAGAAACAGTAAGTATTGATGAAGATGTGGGGAAAAGGGTACACTCATACATTGCTGGTGGAACAGCAAATGGGTGCAACCATTCTGGAAAGCAGTATGGAGATTCCTCAAAAAACTAGGAATACAATTACCATTTGATCTGGTTATACCACTTCTCAGTATATATCCAAAGGAGTTAATATCAGCACACTACAGTAACACAGCCACATCAATATTTATTGCACCTCAATTCACAATAGTTAACAGATGAATAGATAAAGAAAATGTGGCATATATAAACAGTGGAATATTAGCCAAAAGAAGAATGACTTTATGACTTTTGCTAGTAAATGGATGCATTTGGAGAATATCATGCTAAGTGAAATAAGCCAGTCACAAAAAATTAAAGATTGAATGTTCTCTCTGGTATGTGGTTGCTAACACATAACAAGGGGAGAGGGGAAGAACATAAATTCAGTGGATTAGACAAAGGGGAATGAAGGGAGAGGGCATGGAAATAGGAAAAACAGTGGAATGAATCTGACATAACTTCCTCATGTACATATATGAATATACCACAATGAATTTCCACATAATGTATATTCACAAGATTGGGTTCATAATTGGAATAAGATATACTCCTTATTTGTAGAAATTTGTCAAAATTGACTCTACAGTACAGTCATGTATAACTAAAAAGAACAAATGAAAAAAATTAAAATAAAGAAATACTGTCATTTGCAACCATACAGACAGAACTGGAGAACATGTTAAATGAAAAAAGACACAGACAAGCACTGAGTGATCTCACTTATATATGGAATCTAAAAAGGTTGATATCATAAAAGGTGATAGTAGATTGGTGGTTACTAGAAGCAGTGAAGAATGAGGGGGCAGGGGGGGATGGAGAACAGTTATTCAATGGGAACTAAAATACAATTGAAAGGGGAGCAAGCTCTGGTGTACTTTGTACAGCTTGAATAACTATGGATATCAGTAATGTACTATACATTTCAAGTTCAAGAAGAAAGAATTTATCATAATGACACAATAACGTTTGGGAAGTAAACATGTTAAATACAATTTTAACATTATGCAACATATAGATGTAGCAAACATTATATGGTACACCATTAACATGTACAACTTTTATGTTCACATGTATCAGTTAAAAAATAATGAAAAAAGCCATGTGTGGCTGCACACATCTAAGAGACTGAGGCAGAAGGACTGAAGTTTAAGGCCAGGATGGGCAACTTAGTAAGACCACGTTCTCAAAAAATAAAAAGAACTGGGATACAGCTCAGTGATAAGATGCCCCTTGATTCTATTTCTAGTACTGTAAAGACAAAATGAATGAAAAAAAATCTAGATTAAAAAAATGCTACAAAAGATTTAATTGAGGAGTGAGGATCCCATTTGGCTTCTGTAATAGTTTTCTGTGTCCATTGTTTCATATATGTTAATTCTAAACATAACTGAATGAGAAAAGTATTATCATTCTCATTTTACCAAAGTGCATACTGAAGCTCAGAGATATCATTTGTTTTATAACAAACAGATCCTGTCAGAGCAGAATTAGCACACAGGTTTAACCAAATAAAGACTTTAATCACCATGCCATGCTGCTGACAGTGTGTTCAGAGGATAACACATGCCAAGTATGGATTTGGACTAGGGAGATGAGACTGAAAACATGAAGAGACTGGTATTGGGCCGGCTTCATTCACACATGTGAATATGTGAATAAAAATTAAATGTGTGGAACTAAAAATAAGACTTGCACATAATAAAGGAGGCTCTGTTCTTAGAAAGCTTGAAAATAGTACAAATTTCCTTACTTCATTGGGAATTATGTCAGGCTGTTGGTCAGAGACCTATGTAGTAGCTTGAAGGAATCAGGAGTTTATTCTCTTCCTAAATGAAGTCTGGCAGCAGGAAACACAGGGCTACCAAGCAGCTCTACAGAGTCATGAAGGTCTGAGGCCTCTTTCTTTTCCACTATCCCTTATGCACATGAGTTCATAAAATTGCTGCTAGGCTAAGGCTATCATACTCATTCCAAGAGAGGAGAGGAAGGGAAGGGAGAAAGGGGGTCAAATCGCTTTCATGGAAGCATTCAATGTACTCAATAATTTTTATTTAAAATTCTGGCTATCCCATCTGCCAAGTCTGGGAATCCGAAGATCTTAATTTGGGTTTACAGTCCAGGATACTGGTGTTTTGAGAGAAACGGATTTATATAAGTAGCCAGAAGTCTCTCCCAAATCCCTAATTATTATCCCTTTTTAAAAACTTTATTTTTGTCACCCTTTTAAGAAATAAATGCAAAAGAAGTAGTGCTAATTAAAAACAGTATCATAATTGTAAAAAGCAAATGAAATATTTTTTATTCCACTCTGTTCTTTTCTCATGTCCTTTAGTTAACATTTTTTAATAGTTCAAAAAGCCCTATTAACAGGAGTTTCAATAATGAGAAAACAGGAAATAATGAGAAAACAGGAAAAGGAAGGAGAAAATCATCAAGAAAATAAGCCAAGAAAATTTTCTAGAACCAAAGGACATAAGTTGCCAGAGAAGTCAATGAGTGCCCAGCAATGAATCACATTTGTATCAGCCATCATTGTGAATCTCAAGAACCCTAAAGAAAAAAAAAAAACAAAACTATACATGTTATACAGCTAACACGATGCTTTGAAAGTTGTAGATTTTGGAGCATTTTGGACTTTTGTATTAGGGATACTCAACTGCATATATGTAAATATTCAAAATATGAAAAACTCTGAAATTTGAAACATTTCTGGTCCCAAACATTTTGGACAAGGGATGCTCAACCTGTGTAAAATTCCATAGGGAAATAGATCTCATGCACTGGGTCAGGAATCTGAGTGTCTTTACACTCTTCATCAGGAGTATTTGAACAAAAAGATGCTTTGCCCCATGGGTTTCTCCATGGGGCTTCTCAAGCATGCTTAAGACTAAATAGCTAGACTTCCTCAAGGGATGATTAAAAGTAGCAAGGAAGAAGCCACAGTGTCCTCTATGGCTGCTGCTAAACCTTTAAAATTTTAACAGTCTTTTCAATTCTTCTTAAAAACAAAACATACAGTTTAACTAAACCAATCCTACATGCATCTATGTGTGTGTGTGTGTGTGTGTGTGTGTATGTATATATACAAAAATATATAGAAATGGTACTGATTTTTAGCCTCACATTATCACACTTATTGCCCCAGAATCGAAAATTCAAGAGATTTCTACATATGTCCCACCTTGTAAATGTGCACAGATGTATGTTAAAAAGCTTATCTTTAATATTCCTTAAGATTGCACTAATTCAGAGAAGATACTCTGGAGAGAACATTTGCACAGCAAGGGTACCTCCACTAATAAGCTAATGTCTCCAGGCCAGTGAACTCTGTATCCAAGTAGCTTACATAAATGTCTCCCCTTTTGACTTTAATATCTTCTTGTCTGAGCTTCCCATGCCCATGGTTTTCTATAGCACATGAATTACCTTTGCAATGCTGTTTTCCTAAATAAATATAATTGTTCTTTGGAGAATTTCACCCACTATTTAGATTGACAATGTGATACCAGAAGGTCCAATCTGTGGTCTGTAGCAAGGAGTCAGATTTTTAGCAGGGTTCCTGCATCCTAACAATCCTCCATTAGAAGAAAATCAATTTCTGACCCAGTCTACTCTTCCAAAGACCAGTTTATGAGAAAGTGTGTATAGAACAAGGGAAATGTCTATTGATTATTGGTTTTTTTTCCTTCCAAGACCCAGAAAGGAGAGAGACCTCCCTATTGTTAACTTGACTTTTACTTAGAAAAACAACTTGTTAAAAGAAATATTTGTCAAGTTAGTTCCTATAAAATAATAATGTTTATTCATCATCTTTAATCAAAGCATCTGAACTCTGATCACTTTAGGAAGGCCTTTATTTCTATTATTTAGCTGTTTGATGTATTTTTTACAATATACAAAATTTTGCCATAAGAATATTTCTCAGATATAAAATGTAAATGTTTTGCCATTTTAGTCCAACACTGAAGTTAATTAATCATATCATAAAATAGAAAAATATCTATTTTTCTATCAGCAGCAGACTGATTCTTATTTTTCACTCATAGCATCTTGGATTTCTTTCTTGACAATTTGTCATTTACATAAAAGTCACAAATATATGAAGACACACATAAAAATGTACTTGTCTTAGTCTCTTCCAAGATTAGCTTGGTTTCATTAATTTATAAATATTAGCATGAACAGGTGAAAATGAGGTAGTGATTGCTATAAAGAATATTATAAAGCCTGCTAGTCTGGGAGAACATGTTAGTATTTCTAGTTGCCAGTACAATGTCTGAAAGAAGTTTGAATTTGAAAGGAAGAAAAATGTTACCTGGCTGATCACAAAGGTGCTTGAGTTTGGACAGGTGTTAAAAGATTTCTGAGCATTTGTATCATGCTATTGAAATTAAAATTTGCCTACAGCATGTGAACTAAATATGTGTTGCTTCTTTGGAACTTAATAGCACATTAAAATATTTATTATGCCTTAGGAACTTATTTAAAGATTCCCATCTGCATTTAGCTTAAAATTAGTTATGTATTTAAAAGTTTTAAGAAATATCAAGAGTGAAAATTTATTTAAATATATAGAGATCATAGAAGATACTAAATAAATAAAATACATATGATATAAAAATGAACAGAGTAATGAAAGAATATTTGAAAAGCAAATGTTCTTTGAACATTCATTTGAATGTTATCTTCATTATAGAGAACTGTTGGTATGGAATATGTATTTGTTGATTATTTTTGTGTTGAAAAATCATGGAGACTTATAGTAAAATATACTGAATACACATTATTAATAACTGTCAAGGTAAATAATACCAACCACAGTCATATATTTTTGTGGGGTTACTTATTTGATGCCTATTTACCCCAATATAGAAAAAATTCCATGGGCAAGGGTATCCACATTGTCATTACTTCCTACTTGGTACTTAGCATAGCTCTTGTCATATAAAAGGTATGCAATGAATATTTGTTTGAAGAGTGGTAAGGCTACAGGTTCAACTGATTGACCTATAGTCCCTCAGAACCTATTAACCATATTGAACTATTGTACATAAATGATTTACAGATATTAGTGGATGATTACTGAAACAGAGGTATTAGATGGCAGGTAGTGCCTCTGTTCATGGACCAAAAGTATCCATCAGTGGACATACAACATATAAACTTCTTCTGTGAAAAAGTAATTTAAGACTTTCAATTCCCAAAATGTAAACTACAATATTTGAAAATGTAAATACATAATTTGAATACAACTTGACAACCACCTATGGATAAAGAGGTAATGAGGCCCTGGTGTGTAGTATGAGGGTAGGAGAGTCTCAATGGATAAATAACTGGCCATTGGGATTGGCAGCTATAGAGAGGAAGGAGGAGACATGGGATTCTAACCTGAACTTGAGATTTATGGTGATATTTTCTAGGCACAGAGGAGAAGACAAGATTTGGGATAATTTATACAATCCACTTGGGAGATACTGACTTTGAGGTGTTTGTGGACATATGTTAGTTTTGCTTCTTACTTGCTAATGCTTTTACTCAAACTATGGAGAAGGGAAAAAAAAGTCACGAAAACGTGGTTTTGGAATAGTCTAAAATCTATCTTCTGCAGGTAATACTTAATAAAATTTTTGGGGGGGGGGGGCTAGCGGGGATTGAACTCAGGGGCAGTCAACCACTGAGCCACATCCCCAGCCCTATTTTGTATTTTATTTAGAGACAGGGTCTCACTTTTGCTGAAGCTGGCTTTGAACTCATGATCCTCCTGCCTCAGCCTCCTAAGCTGCTGGAATTACAGGCATGTGCCACCTTGTCTGGTTTAGAATGTTTGTCTTTTAAAACAAAATTTTTTCCAAATATAATTTCACTGATAACCTCTCTTTAAAGTTGAGTTCTGTTCAAGTGAAGTTCAGTGGCAGAGCATGTGCTTCCACAGATCCTTGATTTGAGCCTCAGCACCAATAAAACAAAACAAAGTCCAGCAGGGTTTCAGTTTTCAGAGAAAATAGTTTAGTCTTGTTAGATAAGATAAGGGTGTTTTATTTTTTGTTTTGTTTTTTAAATAGAAAGGTCAAATTAGTTTTGCTATACTGGGAAACCCAAATTTCATGGGGTAGTTGTTTCCCAAAAGTTGATTACTCTGAACTCCAGGGATTGGGAGGTATTTAAGTAAAAAACTTCCAGCATCCATCCAAGCAAGAGCCCATCCAGTCTTAGACCACAAAAGGTGGCGGTGTGGGGCGCGGTGAGGAAGGACCCTTTATGGCTGACGTCTTTATAGCCAAGATAAAGCATTTTAGGTATATATTAACTCATTTAATCCTCATAATAACCCATTTTACAGAAGAGGAAATGGAGACACAAAGAAGAAATAATATGCCCCACATAAAGTTAGTTTTTTTTTGTTTTTTTTTTAATATTTATTTTTTAGTTTTCGGCGGACTCAACATCTTTGTTTGTATGTGGTGCTGAGGGTCGAACCTGGCCGCACGCATGCCAGGCGAGCGCGCTACCGCTTGAGCCACATCCCCAGCCCTAAAGTTAGTTTTTGAACTGGAATTTCAACTAGAAAATCCTTGCTTCAAATCTATGATCTTACCCTTTAAAAAATGTTTCTTCTTAAATGTGAAGGAAGTGGGAACTTTAAATCCATTTACCTTGAAATTATTGAAATAGAAATGTCTCATTAGAAATTTTCATCTGCCCTTCTTTGGGGAAACTTTCAATGTAATAAGATTTCATAGTTCAGTAAAAGTTAATTCACTACATGAGACAGTTTTGAGAGAAGCAGAGAGCTGACTGTGAACTACGCCTGCTACTTCTTAACTCAAACGCCTTATCATCAGCAAACAAGTAAATAAGAGTATTATTTTACAGGAGTGTTAGGATTAAATGAGAAGGCAAATAAAACATTTAAATAAAATAGTGCTGTGTATCAGTTGCAATTCGGCTCTCGATAGCCTTTTTTGGTCAATTAATCAGAAAATTAAAATTTCAAAGTTTGCTTGTAACATTTGATACAAGATGGGTAAAAAGGGGCCCGGGCCATGCTTACTCTCCAGCAGTTCCTAATTAATCTTTCTCCCACCACCCGCCCCTTTCTTACTTACTGTACTATGAAGCGATAGGAAATGATGAATCATTAATTTTTTTTCTGAACAAATATTTAAGGGAAGAACAGATGTTGGCGAAGGCCGTGAAGAAGCCAGGCGTGCTTTTTTTTTTTTTTTAACAGAATTTATATTGTAGAAAACGTTAAAAACATTGAACGAATTTAAAACATTAGCCATGCCTTGAGAAATTCAAGTGTTCCTGATGGAGGGGGGAGGCGATAAGAACGCAAAGACCAGGGACACAGACCACGCGGAGAATGGAATCCTACGCGTTAATATTGCTAGGGGTAATCTGCGTCCAAAATTCTCACCAGTACTGAGGTCTGTTGCGTTCAGTAGTGGAAAGCAACCTCTTCTTCCCGGCAGAAGGAGATTCCGGATTGGTCAAGCGATTACACCTAAAAACGCGTCTCCGTCTCCTTTCAGTTTAGGCACGCCCCTTGCACCGTGACCACGCCTCTTGATTCACCAAACAATTCGTAAGCGCAGGGATTATCGCGAGAACTCCACATGGTCTCCCTTCTGACGTTTTCAGTGGTGATAGTCGCTTTTGTTCTCGCGATATTTCCGGGTACACGGGAGCCCCGGCGGCCCGGGCTTCTGTGAAACATGGCGGTCGACTGGGACCGTAACACAAGGTAAAATACTGAAACCCCACTGCGTGGTGTTCCCTTGATTGTTTCAGGGCCGCTTGGGCATGAATGCGGTTAAGGAGACTGAGAGCTTGGCGTTAGTTTAGGTGCCTGTCTTCATCTCTTTCTGGAGAGCAGGCCAGATCGAAGAGCCTCTCCACCTCTCCCGGGGGCGTTACTGGCAGGACCCTGGGCAGCGCTGTGACTAGTAGCTCCGCTCTGTCTGTTCCTATGTCTCCGAGCTTTCTTGCAGTTAGAAGTAGGTGCGGTGCTTCCTCGATAGCTCCGACCCTGACTCCTTGCTTCTCACAGTGCCAGGTGACTTCTTGCGTCCCCAGGCAAGTAGGGTCCCGCTTCCTCAAAACCAGCCTCATAGTGTCCCTAGTTTTATAGGGTTTCTGGTTCCCTACTGTCAAATAAATACTACATTCTTGGTAGCACAGTGCTCTTTTTAAGAAAGAAGGGTATTTTAGCCACGCCTTCGCACGCAGCTTTGGAAAATGAGAAAGGGGCAGGACAAGGCAAGATGCTAGGGGAGACAGGTCCCAGAGCGTCTACTTTTCTCAATTCAAGAAACCTGGGAAGGTAATTTGTCAACTCGTGTAGAGAATAGCAGTGGTTATCGTAGTATAGAGTTGATCATTGTTTGAGATGAAAAAACACGTTTAAATAACTTTTACATTTAGGATTTAGTGCCCTCAAAATTTAAGGTAAATTATAATTGTTAAAATGTTGCAAGGCTGGCTTTCAGAAGCAATTAAAGATACAGTTAACAAAATTTTTCTTTTGTTTAAAATTATAGCCTAGTATTTCAATTATTTCCTTAACCTGTTATATTGAATTTTAGTGTAGTTATAAAGACATGGGTCTAACGTGTTCACTGAAGGACTAATTTGCCTAATTTGTTTATTGATATCTTTAAGTTAATGCAATTATTCCAGTATTCTTAGAAGAATAACATGAGAAACAGAAATTCCATTTTTCCCGTTTTCTGTTTGATGGTAAACTTTAGAACATAACTGAGTATTGTAATAGCTTCATAGCATAAATTTTAAAAATATACCAAATTTTCAATATTTCTCAAAGGAAATCAATCTGGAACTAGGATAACAACGAATTAGTGAAAAACAAATTTTTCTGGGAGTTGATGACTTAAATGGAAGAAATGGAATTCACTTTTAATAGACATCACTTTTACCTTAGTCTATGCCCACTGTAAATTTTATTTAACAATTTTCCAGTGTTTATTTTATTTCTGTCTTTTACAATCATAGTGAGCCTTTATTTAACCTCTCTATGCCTTAGTTTCCTCCTAAATAAAATGGGAATGATAATATAGTCATACTTAATTCGTAAGGAGATTGTAGGATTAAATGTGTTAAAACAAAGCACTTAGACAATGCCTGCTATAGGGTTAACACCCGGAAAATGTTAACTCTTTGTTATTTTTTTATTTCCACTTTCTAACTTTTTTACTTGCAAATGTTGCCTTGGTACTTAATCAAAATATAGACTGAGGAAGATATTTTTAAAAATTTCTTTCTGACTTCTCCAAATTGTCTAAACACTCTTCATTATATGTACATAATATGACCTTAAACTCTTCCAGGTACTTTCTTAAACTGTTCTTCTCTCTTAATTACTAAGGCACAGATTATTCCTTTCTACTACTTCTTCATGTAGTTTTATTGCAGTCTAGGTTCCTGCTGCTGTTTTCGGTCTTAAAAGCATGCTTTTGCTTTTAAGAACATTCATTTTATTGTGAATATACTTCTTGCATTGTTGACCTTCTTTCCTCATTCTTAAGTTCCTTATACCTCCTTACTTTGATTTTGTATACTTTTTTAAAGTAGCTACTTTAGTCAAGCTGTTTTTTGTATTGATCTTCCTTTTATTGCCACTAGGTACTTCCATATTTCTGTTGCTGTGACTTTACAGTCACTTTTCCTCATCTTTTATTCTATTAGTTTATATAGTTCTCTATGAGATTATCTACTTACTTCATATATTGTCCTACTTTCCTCTGAGTTTAGCATCTAAATCTCAAATATCTTATAAGTTTTTCCTTTTTTTCTAATTAGAAAACATTGACTAAATGCCTCATTTTATCCTAACTAAAAATTATGAGGTAACCTCCCTACCTTTTGAAATAATTGTGTGTGTGTGTGTGTATGTGTTTGTGTGTGTGGTGCTGGGGATTGAACCTAGGGCCTTGTGCCTGCAAGGTAAGCACACTACTAACTGAGCTATATCCCCAGCCCTGAAGTAAAATTTTTGAGAGGATTCTGAAACATCGAGGCCTTTGCAAGTTTCTCACAGAACTAGTAAGTATGTAGATGACAATCTAGGTTTTTTTGGATTGAAACTTACATGTGTACCATCTTACTTGTCTTCCAAGTTAATCTTCTTATTACTGTGTACCATCTTACTTGTCTCCCAAGTAAATCTTTTTATTGCTAAGAAAGTTACTAGATTATTTGAATTATTTTGAAGTAAATAACTTTTAAAGCATAATATTTAACTGGCATATCCACTATAAAGAGAGACTAAGCTATTTATTTTATAAAATTGTTCTTACTGTATTCTAATACAGTATGGTCTAGTAATAAAAATTTGTAGATAGATTGTACTTTTATTTCTGAAACTCAATGGTAGCCTGGATAATATATCTCCTTTCTCATTCCTATTAATGGCTCATATTAGTTTTGGGGGGCTGTCTTTACAAACTACCATAAACTGGGATGCTTAAAGAAATTTATTCTCACACAATTTTGGAGGCTGGAAGTCTAAAATCAAGGAGTGGGTAGGGCCATGTTCCCTCTGAAGATTCTTGGAGAGTCTTTAATTGCCTCTTCCTAGTTTTAGGGCACTCCTTATAGACACCTTACTCTAATTTCTGTCTTTTTAGTTTTAATTTTCTGTCTAATTTCTGTCTTTTTACATGGCATTCTCCCATGTGTATCTGTGTTTTCACATGTTCTTATAAGGGCATCAGTCTTTAGATTTTGAGTTACCCTAATCCAATATGGTTTGATTTTAACTAATTATATCTACAAAGTCCCAATATCAAATTATGCACATTCACAGATAGCAGGGGTTAGGATTTCAGCATCTTTTGGGGGGACACAGTTCAACTCACATGATGGACATATGTATTAACTAATTAAATATTTTTCATTGTCAAATATATATTATAAATAGACATTGCCTTATAAAACTTGGATAACAGACTGTCTCCCGTTTTGTTTTGAGAGGTAATGAAACTTGAGCAAACTATAAAAAGTTTCATGAATGCTGTGTTTTAATTTCGGCAAAGCATCTGGTATTTTTATTCAAATGAATACAATGATAAATTATAGGCTATATGACACTGCTTAAATTGAGTGTTGATAAAGTCTATTCTTATGTGAAAGGTTTCTTATTATGCAATTCTTCAAAGTATTATCTTTATCTCAATGTCAGTGACTTCCTAGAGTTTGTTTTTGAATTACTTTTTAATATACAGGATAGTTTAGGCAAGACAGCAAAGAAAATGATGTGGTACTGGAGATGGTTAAGGTATAAATAATAGCACCAACCATTGGTCGAAGAAGTCTAGTGTAATTACTCCTAAATTATTGGATTTTGATGACCAATACAAAAAAAAGAAAAAAAGCAGGGAGAAAGGCCTAGATTTGAGGACTGAGAATACATTTTACATTTTGCTAAATGAGGATATCAAAAAACAAAAAGACTCCTCTCCCTCTATATATACTTATGTATATACTTTTATGATTTTAGTATATATATATATATATATATATATATATATACACACACACACACACACACCTCTGTTTACTTTTATCATTTCATAAAGGAAAAGGTATTTTGACACATAAAAAGGAAGACAATAATCCCAGATACCAAGGACAGATTTTAAAATTTAAAAAGTTTACCTTTTGAAAAATTTGCTATACTGTCCTTATGTTTTTCACTTAGGTAAAAATAACAAATTTTGTAACAGAATGGCGGCGACTTCTAAGAAGCTATCTAAGTATATTTTTGAAAATGACCAAACTGAATAAAAAGGCAAATAGAGTAGGTATGGGATCAATGGGATTGGGTAACTGGGAGGGATTCAAGGGTTTGAGAACACCAGTGAAAATGAAGAGCTTGAAGGATTATTTTTCATTCAGAGAGGAAAATGATGTTTTGAATTTTAGAGGTGAAGCAATTGTAAGAGTTGAGAGGAGCCAAAACATGATCTTGCTTATGAGTGACTTTGTATAGATTAAATGCACTGGAATAGAAGAACAATTGAGTTTACATAGTAAAAAGATTTTATTGTGAATGAATGGCATAGGATCATGAGTTCAAAGGATATGATGGAATGGGGAAGAAGAGAAGCATATTGAATGACCAAGGTGCTAAAGTCATTAAGGAAACTATATAAACACTTGCAGATGTCAGTGGACCATGGCAGCATATAATGAAATAACAGCATATACTGTGGTTTGGAGCATAGATTTTGGGCCAAGCTGCTTGGGATCAAATCCATGTTATTACTGTCAGCTCTGTGGGCTTGGGAAAATTATTTTACTGTTCTGTGCCTTAGTTCCTCCTGTCTAAATGAGAATGAGAATAGTATTATAGAAGATTAAATAAATGTAAACTACTTTTAATAATATCTAGCATGAAACATAAAAGTCACACTTTGTTGTATGGTGTTAACTTATCTTTCAGCAGAAGGTAGACCTGAAAAGGGGAAAGAAAAGTGGTTGAGAAGTATGATAAAACACATTACTTCTTTAATCTGTGAGTCTATGAAATGAAGTGAAGGATTAGAAAGGAATTACCACCAGGAGAAAGGTTTTATAAAGAGAGTGGGTAAAAGGATTGATTTTAGAAAAACTAGAAGTTATTGAATAACTTGTTCATGTCAGAACAGTAACTTTATAGAGTGTTAAATACTAGAGGTAGAATGAATTTCTTGGAAGTAGGTTAGTGAATGAACATGAATGGGATGGGAAGATTTTCAGATTGGCAGGGCGCTTCATTCTAGAATGATAATAATGGAAAATGGTTTGGAGGAAGCCAGAGACTAGGTGGTAGCCAAATGGGGTATATAAGCTGAACTTTGAAGGGTAGAATACTGAATAGGTTGTGTGTGGTCTTAAAGGGTTTGTGAAATGAACCAGCTGCTTGCCATATTTTTATACTCACATATAATTTAAAAGAAAGCATTTACAAAACTTATAAAAATATAACATGGAAACTTTTGGAAGTAAAATTTACTGTTTTATTCATTTGCTCAACAATACTTTACCAACTATGTGCCACCCACTGGTCTAGTTGCTAGGGATACTGCAGTGTACAAAATTGAAAAATCCTCCTCCTATTGATCTTAGGTTTT